ATTTGCAAATTATTATGAAGAGGTATGGATTTCAATTCCCTGAATTTGCAAATTATTACGAAGAGGTATTGATTTCAATTCCCAGAATTTGCAAATTATTAGGAAGAGGTATTGATTTCAATTCCCTGAATTTGCAAATTATTAGGAAGAGGTATGGATTTCAACTCCCTGAATTTGCAATTGCTTGAAGACTTTGCAAGGTGCACCACATCTGTTTGTAACCTGCAGCTAAAGCAACTAAGCTTGTCTCTCTTCCTCCAAAGATAATACGGTCTCCAATGATACTACTAAGTGGAATGCAGATTGCTCACAAAGGAAATTGTGAAATGTCCTTCTGGCTGGCAGGTTTCCAGATCTGCCCAGTCTTCTGTCTAAAACAAACTTCAGGGTTTGAGTCAGAAGGATTGCCGGATGCCAATGGGTGTGTTCCAAGATAATCACAGCAAGAAAAAAAACATTTCTTAGACTACAAAAGGCAGACTTTCAATTGCATCGCTCCTGAAAATGTCCAGGAGGCATTTTCAGAACAGTTTGCTTGTGGCTGATTTTGACCTGCTCAGGTTTTTGAGGGTTTTTTTTGCACTCTTCTTTTAAACAATATGGGAATCCTATAATTCGGTGTTTCTCAAACTTAGCAAGTTTAAGATGGTGGATTTCAATTCCCAGAATTCCCCAGCCAGCATGCTGAACTGAAATGAAATCCATACATCTTAAAGCTTCTGAACTTGACGCTGCTATAACTGGAAAGGCAAAACCACTTGTAGTAAAAACTTAAAAAGAGGAAGAGGCACTAATTGTCCACCTATGAATTACAGTAAGGTCTCGTTTATAAGCAAGCAAGCAAAAACCATTAGCAATTAAATTCAAGAGGAAACTTTTTCCTCTTCACATTTATCAAACAGATTCCCCCTCCCCATCACACTTTTATTTCAATGTGAGATGTTTAACTTGGTGCAAGAGCTTTGGGGTTAGGAGGCTGGCAAGATTTAAAGAACTGAAAACCTTCTGGGAGAAAAACAGTAAATCTGAAAGCATTAAAGAATGTGGACTTAGTTTTTTAGAGCATCAGGTTCTACCTGCTTTCCAAAGAGAGCCACAAGCAGAGAAACAGAAGAGGAAGCTACAGCTTCATTAGAATTAAATCTCTGTTTTAAAACTAGCCAGAGTTTGGAATGATCCCTGCAATACATAGCTAATATTACCAACAAAACTAGCTGCATTTTCATGAATTTTGGTTTTGCTACGCATCCACCCTGCAGATAGTCCTCGTCTTACAACAGTTCACTTAGTGACCGTCTGAAGTTACAGCGGCACAGAAACAAAGTGACCTAAGACCATTTTTCACACTTACGACCCTTGCAGCATCCCCAGGGTCACGTGATCAAAATTCAAACACTTGGCAACTGACATGTACTTAAGACAGTTGCAGCGTCCCGGAATCACGTGATCCCCTTTTGCGATCTTCTGACCAGCAAAATCAATGAGGAAGCCAGATTCACTTAACAACCATGTGACTAACTTAATCAACACAATGATTCACTTAACAGCTGTAGCAAGAAAGGTCATAAAAGGGGGTAAAAACTCACTGAACAACTGTCTCACTTAGCAACAAAAAAAATTGGGCTCAGTTGTGGTTGTAAATCAAGGACTAGCTCTATTCTCACCCAGCTTTGGTTTTCAAAAACTTCCCTGCCAAAATTTAGGCTGAGTCAACCAAATTTAGAAAATAATAGTAGTAGTAGTAGTAGTAGTAGTAGTAGTAGTAGTAGTAATAGTAGTAGTAGTAGTAAAAGTTGGGACCTTGGAGGTCATCTAGTCCAACCCCCTGCTCAGGCAGGAGACCCTATACCAGTGGTGGCGAACCTATGGCACGGGTGCCAGAAGTGGCACTCAGAGCCCTCTCTGTGGGCACGCACACCGTCGCCCCAGTCTTAGGCCTTCAGTTGGGTTTTATAAAACCTTTTCACTTTAGGCCTCCACCACCATGTGCAAAAAAAAAAAAAAAAAAAAAAAGGTTCAATCAGTCAATTTCAACTTCTCACAGGAGAAAAAAGATCTTGCAAAGTTGGAATTGATTGATTGAACTTTTTAGTCCCGCCTAGTCTGCCATTAGCACTGCAGCCACGCCCACCTAATTGACAACACCCAGCCAATGGGCCACACCCACCCGGCACTCGACGATGCATAAGTGGATTTGGGGTTGCAGTTTGGGCACTCGGTCTCTAAAAGGTTCACCATCACTGCCCTGTACCATGACTCTCTCTGTCTGTAAACTCTTGTTAAGACTAGTATTTGTATAGCTCAACCGTGAACCAAGACTTCATACGAGATAAATCTCACTACAAGCGTGGGAAATCCTGGCTGCAGAGATTCAAAACCAATAAGTTTCAACTGTCAATAGAGCAAAGGAAACTGTCTTCCTATCGACTAATTAAAACTAAAACATAAGCCAGTATTTGAAGCCCAACTTGCATACGGAATGAATTGCTATTAAAAGAGGCAGACCAGTCTAACTTCCATAGTAATTCTTGTTTAATAAGTTCTGCTTGCTGCTAAACGAGGAACATCCTGTCCTTGGCTATAAACATTTGCAAAAGGGGAAGTTCTAAAAAACATTTGCAATTCAGAAATGGGGAAACTAAAACGAGATAAAGCCCAAGGTCAGAGGTCAAGCTACATTAGAGACAATGGCTGAGCATGCTGTACTGTTAAGTCTACTGTAAAACTGCTTATTCTATCAGATTTTTTTTTTTAAAAAAAATAACATGATGTTAAATATCGAATTTAGGACTTCTGGAATTCAGATCTTGTTCTTCTAAATGTCTGAGTTTTGTTCTCTTCTTCAGCAAAACAAGAACATTTCTCACATTCACTTCCGTGTCTGTGAAATTGTACGAAAAGACACTTATTTCATAACAGCGTTGCAAGAACCGTAAGCAGGAAAGGAGAGAGATTTGGAGATCAAAAGGCTGCACTGTCCTCAGGCACAAGTCCAACAGGTGCAGCCCGCCTCATGAACAAGCTGCAGAAAGGATATTTGGTTTAATCAAATTGTTTTCTTTTTAAAGAGTGGAGCAAATCATCAGGAACATCAATCAAAGGCTATTAATCACATGGAACCTCCAGATGCTGAAGCAGTCTATCTTTGTTAGACTGTATCTTTGGAGTTTTTTTTTAAAAAAATCCAGAACTTTGGACCAAATTCTAGCAAAGCTTCTTGGCATACTCTTGAAAAGGTATATCTTTGAAAATACAAATACTCTGCAAATGGAAAGCGGCCATATGCAGCTACCAAAGTGGAAATCAAACCCTATGAGAAAGGACTGAAAAATAAAGACAGGCTGAACAAGATCTGGAGAAAACACAAATAATATTTGCCTCTATCTGTCCAGAGTCATTGGCAGCTACACATTTAATCCACATATGAAAAGTTGTACCGGCCAAAAACAACAGAACAGACTTAAACCAGGTGCAAAAACAGACAAAATTATTTTTGATGCCTTTGTATCGTTCTTCACCATATATCTTTCTCTTTTTCTCTGCTTCTTCTTTTTTTTTTTTTGCACTTTTAGTTTTTTCTTCTATTTCTTTTCATTTTGTGGTTTATTTTTAGTAACATTCAGTAACTGATGTTAAAACTCTCAAAATTATACATGAAAGAATAGACAAAGCCTCCTCTAAGGATGCTGGGGCTGCCTTCTGCACTGCAATCCTGGCCAGAGCCAGGGGCTGGACTAAATGACCTTTAGATTCCCCCCCCATCCAACTCTATGTTTTAAAGAAGGTTGTGGACAGAAGTCACCAGGGCCATTGAGAGGGGTGTTTCTAAGCAGATTCAAAGAGTAAACCTTGGCCAGCATAGCTTCAGTTTTACACTAAAAAATTTTCTACCCCAAAAAGGACCCATCCTAATTCAAAGCAATAAAAACACCCGCCAGTCAAAAAAAAAAAAAAAAAAAAAGCCTTCCTCTCAAGCCTCCCTCCCTCTTTCCTTCCTCTCTAACTCCCCTACCCCAAATAAACACCGCCCAAAACTCAAAGCAGCCATCCATGTCTCTGGAGATTCTCAGTCATCCAGATCGTAGTTATCCCAAAGCTGCTTTTTCACGAGGCAACTGGACTTTCTTTGAAGACGTTTCGCTTCTCATCCAAGAAGCCTCTTCCGTTCTGAACTGAACTGAAGCCACCACCAATCCCACCTACGGGGTTGCGAAGCCTCGGCGGAAACCTCCGGAGCTAACTTCTTAGAAGTTGCTGGGAGCGACGCTTTCCTTAGGGAAGGACTTCCAGAGAATCTCCCTGGCCGCGTCTTCAGCTGCGCTTCGGGCTTCAAGGAGATGCTGAGCAGTCAGGGTGTTTGTTTGTTTTTTTTCCCCTCTCCCAGACTTTTTAGGGCATTCCAAGGAAAGCCGCAAACGAGCAAGAGGGAAGTCCCCATTCCCTCCCCCCCCCCGCCTGCCCCATTTCCAGAGACGGGATTTCACCTCTACCCCCGCGTTCAGCGCCAGGTTTATTCCGGGAGGAATAAAACACAGAAGGCGGCAATAAACCCAGAAAAGAAGGAGAATGTTTGTAATTCAAAATTGAAATAAGTGTGTGTGGGGGGGGACTTTGATGATCTCCGAGCTTGGGCTTTTGGGGGGGGGGTTGTTTTGCAGAGGTTTCATGATCCCCAACTAGGAAACATCATCAGCACTGATGATGAAGTTACTTAGTTTTGGATCATGAAACGTCTGCAGGAAAAGCACCCAGCTCACACCAAAGGACCCCCTCAAATCCAGAAATAAAACGGGACGAGATGACGAGGAACCGCCTCTAGCCTTGCTCCAGCTTGGGGCACCAGCTTCCCTCCCCACCCCCATCCCCATCCCCAGCCCACTTGTGTCCCCCCCCCCGCGCAAGTCCCCGTCCTTTTTTCCCACCTATATTCCCACGCGCCTGTCTTTACGCAACTGCCCCAAGCGCAATTACGCCTCCCGACCCCCCCGTTTCCAAAGTACCCAGGTTTTTTCCTTGGCGTCCAGACGCGTCTCTTGCACGAAGGGATTGAGCACCAAGGGGGAGGCCAACGACCGCTGCCTGGGCAGGAGGAAGAGCCGCTGTTGCTGCTGGGGCTCCGGCGGGCTGGGCGAAGGCAGCTTCGCCATGGCGCCGGCTGGCAAGGCGCTTTCCAGCGTCGCCACCGCCGTCGCCGCTTCTGTGCAAAACGGCATTCGGGTGCTGAAAGGGGAAAAAAAAAAAAAGGCGCAGGCGGTGCTGGCAGCGCTCCTCCCGGGCTCCAAGGCGCTTGCGCGGCACACCTCGACCTGACCCGGGTCCAAGGGGGGGGGGGGAAGAAAGGTAAAGGCGGAACGAGGAAAGCCTCCCCCCCTCCTCCCAGCTCCGTTTCTCTGCGCGTCTTCCTTGCAGGATGGCTAACTTCGTCCTGGTGGGAAGGCAGCGGAGGGAGAAAGCCTAGATCTGGGCTGTGGGAAAAAAAAATGTAAGTCTTGGCTGCCCGCTCTGGACCCAATTCTGCAAGGGCCACAAGGTAGGAAAATTGTAGGAAAACTGTAGGCACTCTGTAGGGGGAAATGTTTGGAAACCAGACGAGGAATTTATTTATTTATTTATTTATTTATGAGACTTATATACCGCTTTAAGTGCAAGCACTCTCTAAGCGGTGTACACCAGTAAGCAATGTATGTGTGTGTGTATATATATATATATATATATATATATATATATATATATATATATATATATATATATATATATATTTACATTGCCCCCAACAATCTGGGTGAGTCAACCTTGAGCCGGTGAGATTTGAACCGCTGACCTGCTGAACACAGTCAGCTAAAGTGGCCTGCAGTACTGCACTCTTAACTGCTGCGTCACCTCGGCTCATATTTAGAAGCCTCTAAACCAGTGATGGAGAACCTTTTAGAGACCGAGTGCCCAAACTACAACCCAAAACCCACTTATTTATCACCTGGTGCCAGGTGGGCATGGCCCACTGAGTGGGCATGGCTGTGGTGGTCATGGCGGACTGGATGGGTGTAGCCAAGGTGGGCGTGATCACCTCGATGTTGCTCGTGGGGAGGGATGCCTGTGGGGGCCGGACGGGGTTGGGGGAGATCCAGGGGGTCTTTGGTAGGTGGGGCGGTGGGCAGGAGGCTCGTCCTGCGGGGGGGGGGGGGCGAGGCAAGGCGAGGCAGGGCGGGGGTGCCATTGTCGCAGGGCAAGGTGTGGCAGAGGCCGGGCCGGCTGCTGCCTGACACCATCGGCCCCCGCACACAGAGGCCAGCGAGCGCATGGGTGCTGGGATGCACCCGGCCATATGGGACCTCGGCGAGTTAGCAGGCAGCTGGTTGAAGAGGGACAGTTGCCATCTCCGGGGCAAGGCGTGTGTGCCCACAGAGAGGGCTCTGAGTGCCGCCTCTGGCACACGTGCCATAGGTTCGCCACCACTGCTCTAAACACTCTTGAGAAGATTGGCTTTTGCCAAAACACTTGACCCAAAGTCCATGGAGATTCTCAGTCATCCAGGTCACGGTTGTCTCAAAGGTGCTTTTTTTTTTTCCTTTCAAAAGGCAACTGGGCTATGTTTTTTAAATTCTTCAAGAAAAAGCAGAGCGCAGTGACCTTTTGAGGAAAAAAAAAGCACCTTTGAGTCAGTCTTGACCCAAAGGAGAAGACCTCCAGGGTCCATTCAACATTGTTATTCTGTGATTCTGTTACTTTCATGTTGAAGCATCTGCACCTGCCCTGTTTGGTGGTTCCTTCTTTAGGATCTGCAAACAAGAATGCCAGGTATCTTTTAGTGCATACTTAAAGAATACAGAATAACAGAGTTAGAAGGGACCTTGGAGGCCATCTAGTCCAACCCCCGGCTCAGGCAGAAAACCCTATACCATTTCAGACAAATGGCTGTCCAGTCTCTTCTTTAAAATTTCCAGTGTTGGAGCACCCACAACTTCTGTTCTACTGATTAATTGTTCTCACTGTTAGGAAATTTCTCCTTAGTTCCAGGTTGCTTCTCTCCTTGATTAGTTTCCATCCATTGCTTCTTGTCCTACCTTGATGTGCTTTGGAAAACAGATTGGCCCCCCTCTTCTTTGTGGCAGCCCCTCCAATATTGGAAGATTGCTACCCTGTCAACTCCTGGTCCTTCTTTACATTAAACTAGATATACCCAATTCCTGCAATGTTTGTATGTTTTAACCTTCAGTCTCCTGATCATGTTTGTTGCTCTACTTCAGGGGGGTCAAACTCAATTTCATTGAGGGCCGCATCAGCATTGCGGTTGCCCTCGGGTGGCTGGGTGGGTGTGGCCAGGGTGGGTGCAGCCTACTGGGTGGGCATGGATGGAGTGGGTGTGGCCTACTGGGTGGGCGTAGCCAGCTTTACATCATTCCCAGCAAGGGCAGGAGTGGACAGATCTGAGGATCTCTGGCAGAAGGGGGTGGAACCGGGGCAAGCGCCAAGGCATGGTCCATTTCTTCATTCCTCACAAACGGTGACACCTCCCCAGCATGCACCCAGGGGGCGGGGCCGACACGCCAGGGGCTGGTTTCTAGACAGCCTTGTGGAGCTAAGACTGAATGCGTTTCAGCATAGATGGCCACCACAAAATTGTACATTGGCTCCCAGCTGGTCTGGGCCAGGGCCAAGACAGCGGGGGGGGGGGCGTTCCCTCACTGATTCCAGGATGGCTTCGCGGGCCACATGAAACCACTTCACAGGCCACATCCGGCCTCTGGGCCTTGTGTTTGACATGTCTGCTCTACTTGTAGTATTTCAAGTGTAGTTTAAATTTGGAGCACGTGGAAAGCGTGGGAGCCGATATAGTTGCAAAAGGGGAGTGCTAGAGGGGTCTCCCCTTTCCCCTCCCCAGTTTAAATCCTACATCCGTGTAGCCACTCCATGTTGTTCAGCTGTAGCTAGGCAAACCTTGCACCTTTCAATAAATGGGTTACTTGGAAAGGGTGCCAATAAACTCCCTGGGATTTTGAGATGGGAGCAAAGGAATGGATTCATCCTTTGCCTGCTCTCCTTTATTGGGATTTTTTCCAGTCCAGTTAAGGAGATCTTCAGAGGAGTGAAGAAGGAGAGGTTTGGCAACTGGAGGCAGCAACTTTCTCTCTGGATGCTGATGACGATCATAAGTCTTGAGTGCTGGAAGACTCACCCTTAGGTGTGAATGGAAAAGGAAGTGGGAAAGGGTCATTCACTTCCTGGGGAGACTTGCTCCTCTGCTGACTCAGGGATACTATGCCCAAGTCCTAAAAATAGCAGTTCAAGCAGCCTGGGCCCTTTTTTAAAAAAAACAAAAACAAACAAACTTTCTTTTTAAGATGAGTTGGCAATTGTAACAGCTGAGTCTGAAGTTTTCTGCTTTCTCAGGGAGTGAGAAATATCCCTGTGGGTTATTAATAGAGTCATTCCCTTCCTCACCTGCATTTCAGCAGGCGACAAAAGTCTTCCAAGAGGAAAAAAAAACCCAGAAAACATGAAACAGCAAGGTTTTTAAAACCTTGGGTTAAGGTTATTTTTTTTTCTAAAAATAATAATAACGCTTAGTAATTAAATCGGCCCAAAGGAAGTACTAAATAACAAGTCTCAACAAATTAAAAGCCATGTGTCTTGCTTAAGAACCGTTACAAACCAGGATTGTAAATAATAATAATAATAATAACTCTTTGCTGCCATCTGGCCTCAGTTCTGCAAGAAAGAACGAGCAAAATGGTCAGAACCTAAAATAGAAAGTCTCTTAAAGCTACTGAAAAGGAGTTGCTTCTCCCAAACCATTGACCCCAAAGATGTTGAAACATCTGCACTGCCATGTTCATTGTTTTCTTATTTAGGATCTGCAAACAGTTGCACATGCCTAGTAAATATCCTTTTAAATTTGCAGAAAGACACCTGGTGAATTTAAGCCATTGGCCCAGCTTCACTTAGGAATTCACTGGAAATGTACAATTTAACGTATGTAGGTCTTTGGTTGTTCGGGTTCTCTCCCGCGTAAAATTGGAAGTGTCTTGGCGACGTTTCGACGAAGTCCCATTCGTCATCTTCAGGCTGGTGTTTTCAGCTTCATGCTTCGAGCAGCAATGTGTGGTCTTAGCTGTTTCTTCCTTTTAAAAGGAAGAAACTGAAGCTGAAAACACCAGCCTGAAGATGACGAATGGGACTTCGTCGAAACGTCGCCAAGACACTTCCAATTTTACGCGGGAGAGAACCCGAACAACCAAAGACCTACATACAAACACCCGCAAAATCCTCAGAAAACAAATATATATATATATATATATATATATATATATATATATGTGTGTGTGTGTGTGTGTGTGTGTGTGTGTGTATACTTGAAAAACTATACATACACACACACACACATATACTAAACTTCTTAATCACCCATCTACCTCATAGAAGACTCTGTATGCTTATTGAATAAATAGGTATGGATAATTAGTAGCAACACCAGCATGTTATATTATTATTATATATATATTACAGTGAAAGTTATTGATTTGACAACAATCCTCCATAGGTCCAAAGCTATTGCTGTAGCCTTGTGAGTAATGCCATCAATAACAAAAAGGTATGCCTCTATTATTTCTTGACCATCTTGTTTCAGAAGCAAAGGGATGAATAGCTTGAAGCTTCATTGGTCCAAAATCAGTTTGGCATTTCAGATCTTTGCCCTTCAGCTTCAAGCACTGGTCATTGTTCCCTTTGATTGTCAGATGTTTTAGAAAAGGTCAAAGGCACAGTGCTATCAAATACCTGTTCCTGATGAGTGTCTTGAAAGTACCTTCTGTGTCCAGATGGCATCTCCCTCCGGCCAGATTAGCCAAAATGTATAACGGATATTCATCTATGTGTTGGAAATGTAAAAAAGAAAAGGGCACCTTTTTTCATGTATGGTGGACATGTAGAGAAGCACAGATGTATTGGCGTATGGTCTGGGAATGGGCAATAGAAATGACTAGGCAAAACATTCAATACAAACCTGAGACACTACTATTAGGAATACTAGAGAAAAATGTAAATAAAGAAGACACATATTTAATTATTCACGTGGTTACAGCAGCAAGGATACTATTTGCTCAAAAGTGGAAAGCAATGGAAGTACCAAGTGAGGAAGTACTAATAAAGAAAATTATGTATTGCGCAGAACTAGATAGGATAACTAAAAGATTAAAAAATCAGGAAGAAACAGAATTTTATCGAATATGGAATAC